GAGCAGAAATATAGTCACGCCGAAATCTCGTCATCTAAAAACAAAACAGTTGCGGGATATCAGCCGCCATCTCTTTACTAAAGTGCGCAAAAGCTTGGTAAAACATAAACATGCGGTGCTCAATCCAAATGGGTGAACATTAAAGGTAAAATATCTAGTAACTCCCTCGAAATTCTACGCAAAGCCCAAAAAGGATGAAAAATATCCACATGATGGTAACACGATTTAAGGTCCCATGTAAAGAACCAAAACCCTTCTTCAAAAACTTCACTGATCAAAGATTGCAAATCTTCCTAACGAATTTTGGGCTTAACCAGACACTTGTTAATCTCGCGCAAGTCTCTGAACAGTCGGAGCTTCTTGCCTTCCACAACACTAAGGGGAATAACACAGAGGGGAGGAGAGTCATGCTCATTAATTAGTTTTTTCTCCAATAATTCAATAATAGCGGACTGGACATATTGCGGATTCCTCAACGCAGAACGATTGTTCGGTAGAACGCAACGGATCGGAAATTCACAAAACGGCAGAGAATACCCTTGCCTAATGATATCAATAACAAAAGGAGGGGCTTCTACGTCTTTCTCCCAAAATTCAAAAGCTTCAGTTAGACGACCTTTAACATATGGTCCAATCAAAGGAAACTCCGATACCTTAGGATAAAAATCCAATTAAATTTCAGAAGCATCATCAACGCCTAAATCGAGTTCAAGTTCGTGGTCGTAAACTGGTCACGTCGGGCGCTCGCTAGCTTTGTTGGTACAACTGAAGGCGAAATGACATATTCCCAGCACTGAAACATGAAGGTTAACACAAAGGAAACTACGTGGATCACAAGTGAAAACCAATAGGTTAATAAAAATAATAAACAAATAAGTAAATAAATAGACAAATAATTAAATAAAACTGTTAAACAAAATTGTCTGTCTGGTACAGCGTACTGGAGCGAGAGTGACTATAGCATACCTTAACAAATTTATATAACTACACAGGACAACAGATAATGAACTAATACCATAAGGGATGCAATAACACCAACACGCCCATGGAATAATACGGAGAAAGTCATTATCTCCTATACTCCCTACCGGAGATAATTTACATTTCCTAAGGTGCTAACAAGGATAATTTGGTTAGTAATGTAGAACTTCTTCAGTTGGTGATCATTTCATTTATTCTCATGACCTTAATGTTAGATTCAGGAGTGATATTGTAAGGAGAAATTAGATGCTAGTCAATTCGAGGAGTTAAAGGGTTAAGATATTTTCTTTCTCTCTTCTGACAAGTGCGCAACAATTTTTTCATGCGACAACAGAGTGCAAACATGCGCAGTATTAACATGATTCATTGTACTGTTGCTTCTGTTAAGAAACAAATTTCTTGAACATGGTATGGATTATTGTAAAGTTGCTTATTTCATAAAATACTTCGATGTCAGTTAAAAACGATGTTCTGCTGTGAAAAATCATGGTGATCACCCGGGATCTCATCTCACCGGCGGTGTGATGAGATCGCAGAAACAGAGCAGGTTTTTTCGACACCGAAGAGTGACCAACATGAGATTTCTCCTTACAGTATCACCCCAGAATCACACATTTAGGTCATGTGAATAAAACGAATGATCACCAACTAAAGAAGCTTTTGATTGTTAAACAAATTCTCCTTGTCAGCACTTTAGGAAATGTAGAGAGAACATTATGGAGAATATGCATACTGATCTTAAGGTGTAAAGGGTTACGTTTATTGTTACTATACTCAGGTAGTACTTATTTAGACTGCATGGTCAGATAACAGTGACATCAACATATTATGTGGTAGTTACGACTCTTAGAGTTGCATCCGTTCGTTTCTTTGATCTTCGCAAAGATAATTAATCTTTGGCGGTTATGGTTTGAAATTAGCGTGTAGAGGCTACCATGAAGCAGGAAACAAAAAAAACTTTCGTGGGCTCATATTTTTGATAAAGCAAATTGACATGCTACTGCACCTCAAATGCAGAATAATACGATTGCTAAGGAAAAGCTGATAATTGACGAACATGGGAAAGTATGCAGCTGTTGATTGGCGCTAGGAAACAGTGAATGGGTGAAATTAGGAAAAGGAGCAGGAAAGAACAAAACAATAAGCAAGCGCGGGAAAAACCCAATTACTCGTTGGATCTGGCGCGTGATGTGCACGTGCGAACATTTTACTTTGGGTTCATCGATTAAATACTGTTATGCATCAATCAGTCGTTGAAAACTGACGCCGAAGGTTATCTTAATACGGTGAAATAAAATACAATGAAAATAAACGAGTGGTGAACTTAGTTTTATTTACATTCAAAGGATTACAGTTGATTTCTGACAGCCACAGTTATGATCAGATGTAAACTTTATGTTCAAATAAGTTTAAATATACCTGACCATTTCCTTGTATATATTAAACGATATCGATCTAGGGTTCAAACGAGCTTGAGATGTCAAGAACAAGTGAGGTCGAAATTTCATTTAGAGGTCTTGTAAAAATACTTCCATCCTGGATGACATAACCACATCTCTGTCAAAAGAATCAACTGTCCGACAAAGTGTTTCTATACAAACTGAAGTTTTTTTCAACGGTAAGTTTAGCGTATGTTAAATATCGGGGCTAGGTAAGGCTAAACGCAAATCTCAAATCTCCTTATCACACAGTCTGTAGCAGGCTCTCAGCCAGACTCGAATCGCCTGCAAAAAACGGCGGTCAGCCGTTTTCCTGAGAACCGCGACCGCCGTTTGTGGTTTGCTCGCCCTTTCGCTCGTCTTCACTGTCTTGTAGACTGGAACCGACTTTTTATGTCTCTATCTACCTCTAACCCCCCTTAAAACTACATACTGTTTTCCCTGACTCTAGGATAAAAATGTTCCAAGATTTTAGCTACGCCTCTAACTGGCTTAAATCTACCAGGCTAGTCGAGCCTAATGATTAAATAAGATTAAAAAAGAAGTTGAACCTTGGGCGACATGTTCTTTTTGGGGTTACATGATTATATTCTTGTTATTTCCTTTTGATTTTGGCTATGGTAAAGCATGGGCAAAAAATGAAATAAAACCTGTAGATGAGAATTTAAGCATTAAGAACACAACGCAAAGGAGTTTGAAATTCGAACGCTCAAATCCACTGATCAGAACCAAAATTGGACCAAGAGAACAACATTTAAATCATAAGAACAGAAACTGAGACATGAGGCAGAGATTGAAGTAACAAGACAGAAATTAACACAACTGATCTTTTCGCGGTTCAGTTTCTGTTTTGATTAGGCCTGGAGACGTGACACGATCACAAGTAACCGAGTGAGACCCGGGGAAGTTACTTAGGTGCCGCTTTCGCTTACAGCGGTCCTCTCGACCTCCAATTTCCCTCGAGAAAAAGTCTTTTTTCATTTTTTGCCCATTAAAATTGTTTAGGACACATCAGTTTTAAAAAAGTTTGGTTGTTCCCCTAAGATTAAGGATTAGAATTTTTCATTCTGGTGATTACAGACATACTGAAATATACAAAAACGGATAGTCTAGCCAAAAATCACTTTTAGCTTGTGGCGAAGCCAAACAAGATATAAGTGTTTTCATAATTTAAATTTTGTTCTCTTGGTTCAATTGCGGATCTGATCACTGACTTTCAGCGTCAACTAAACTCCTTTGCGTTCATCAATTTGGGTTTTGACTTCCTAATTCGTGTTCTTAATTCTTAAATTCTGTTCTGCTCAATTTCAGTTCTCATCTGAAGGAAAGGAAATTTTGGCTCTTTGTGACAGAATTTGAAAGAGAATATTGGCCGTGATCACCCGTCATGTTGCATTGATGTCTCTACGGTAGTCTTCAATGGAGAGAAGCAATTTCCTCTTTTGGATAATTCTTGTAGAAACGTATTACAGGCAGCGAGTGTTTAACTTCTGTGAAGCAAAACTTTCGCCATCTTGCGGTGCAACACCCAAGCTACAACAATATATATTTTAACACTAAAAAAACGATTAATTTATGATTAAAATTATGCCCATATAACATAATCCAAGTTATACAAAGTTAAAAAAAATTCATATTACTTAACTGGTAACATTTTCATATCTACTCTTTTCAACACTGAACTTACGTTAAGGTCAATCTTGTAGCAAAATGTCCTGGTGTAAATAACATGACGGCACCAGGAATACTACTACTTCTTTCTTGACCGCTGACCGGATGCTAATATTTGGCAGGTATATGTAAACCCTAAACCCTTCGTCAAGTTCCTTTGACTCCTGCATTTTGCAGGTACCCATTTCTATTCCTGGGTGTAGAGAGGTATTACTAAAGTAGAGCCTGGTCACACGTGCAATGCAACTGAAAACGCACGTGCGACGCAAATGAAATGCACGTGAAACGAAAATAAAATGCTCGTGCGACGCAAATGAAAGCGCACGACGGCGGCGCACGCTACAAATTCCTCATAAACAATGGGGAAAGGGCTTACAACTTGGGTGTTTTTTTAAGATCTGTTATTTCGAATGCTCTACAGCCTAATAATTTCTCACTTACAACATGATGTTCCAATTGCAGAGTTTTCTCAGTAGAGACGTCCTTAACCTTGCCAGCCTAAAATGCGCTGCCTTTTTACAATAGAATGATCTTTCTATCGGTTCATTGGCTTAAAAACCCACACAGGATGTTGGAAGAACAAGAGGAAAGCTTGTAAATTACTCTTTCACTGCTCATAATCTACGAACGTTTGGAATTTTCCACCAATATATTGCGTAGTTAATTACGCTAGTAAACGAATAGGAAGTGCAGTCTGTTGCTTTTGAAGCTAAAATTATGTGTTTATCGGTACAATAGATTCACCAGCAGTCAGAGCGCTTTTTTTAAATACGCAATAAGCAACTAAGAACTGAGAGAATATAGGGAAAGTTTTGTTGACCGGGCCTTGTGTGAGGAGGCACTAACTCTATTAACTCTATTGCTACAATTCTTACTCCATACTTACTTAGACAGCATAGTTTTTACTGTTTAGTTTGTTATTTCGAAGAAAACCTCAATGTCAGATGGAGTAAAACGATAACTTCCTGTGAAAAATCCGCAGTTTTCACCCGAGTAACCCGTGGGGTTTTGGTACGTCTGGCCGCATTCAGTATTAGAGTGCTGATTGTTTTTCGCGTCACTTGATACGTAGATATCATGTCCCCAACCAAAAGTGGGTCCGTAAGAGGAACATCTGTACATCGCGTATTGCTGGTTTTGGTATTGTGTCAGCTTCACAGGATTGTATCCTTTGATGTTGTAAAGAGAGAAAACGAAAGCTTTGCTGGCTGAAGAATAGGCACAGCCTAAAATGAAAGGATTTAGGAGCATTAGAAACTGTGCGAATCAGAAAAAATTCATGATGATCACCATAAAAAAATTTTATTTTTTATTTGCCAAAATGGAACCGAACACTTAAGTTTGTTAGAAAAAATTTCAGTGAACTCGAGAGCATATTTTCACTTTTCAACAAAAGCACTTGAAATAAAGTCCAAAGTGTCATTCAAAGGCGACATATGATCTAAAGAGAGCACTAATTAAACATCCTTTGTTTCAGCTCTCCAATATGAATAACGGATACAACGAAACACGGAGAAATGGCACGAAATGGAGCTGTCAGAATCAAATAAAGTCAAAATCAAAATCAAATCAAAAATCAAATCCGAAACTAGACTTTAAGTTGAAATCCGTTTCAAACGCGTTTTCAGGCTATTTACGAGTCAATCTACTTTGGTATCTCAGTTGTTAATGTGACATTTTCTGTTTCTAAGATGAACTCACTGCTACTAGAAAAGTCCACAACTAATCGACTTGTTATCTGTTCTACAAGTGAGAAATGTTTGCTTGTTTTTTTACTCACCACTGTTCCAGGACACGTCAGTGTATCCACCAAAGATATAACTGTTAACTTTAATGATAGTCACTGTGGGTCCCCTCCCATCGCAGTTACTGTGGAATGTCGATGCTGCCCAACCGTCAGTCTCTGCGTGCCAACACCTCACAAACCTGCTACGCTCTTTATTGATAAGGACTGGGTCCAAATACGAAAACAGCACCTTCAGGTACTGGTTGTAATCAAGACTTCGAAGTATGGCGGACAAACCAAGGCCTAAAGTGAGAAAAGAAGAGGAAAAAATTACAGTTGGCCAAGTAAATGGAACAAGATTGATTGACTGTGATGCCTTTGAATCTAAAGTGATAATTTCATTACCCCTCGTTTGGCTCGCTAGACAATCTTACATTACCGATCCGGCAAGTTAGAAAATTCCCAGCCCGTCTACCAGGCGGTATTTTATGCGGCAGAGAGAATGAAATTTGTTTTAAAGTTCACAAAGCAACCAGGTGGACAATCAGACATGGTTTGATGCTCCTCTGGTTTAAAGATTTAATGAATGCAACCGAGAAGTTACAATTCATAGACCCAAAGTTCGACACTCCTGTCTAGTGCCTTCACCATCATCCTTGATTACGTGTCGAAACTTTGGGTCTATGAATTGTAACTTCTCGGTTACATCCATTAAATCTTTAAGCAAGAGTAGCATCAAAGCATGTCTTAAATTTGTTTGTTAGCTCAAGCGTTCTTTCAAGTGGCCCCACCAACTTCATTTTCTTGTAACACCCACAACCCCCCGCTGCAACTCAGGCAAGTCCTCTCAGGCTCGTCACGAGCTTAAATGAATGCTGCGAAAGAGACTTAATAAGCTTACACATTTCTTCGAAATGACAAAAAAGTAAGCTATCCGTACTCCAGCAACACAACTTTCTGAGAATATTTCTACAATACACGATTTGATTTTGCTACAGGCCCTACTAAGTATTTATCTTTAGAAAGGGGTGATTTTCTTGATTACCTGCTTCATAGAATACTTCGACGTCCTTTGGAGAGAAATGAGACCCCCCTGTAAAGAAACCACAGTCACCATTTGAGTACCCTGAGGGTTTCGTGTACGTACAACCGCATCTAGTGTAGGAGTTCTGGTTGTTTCCAGAGTAGTCGGATATGTAGATATCATGATGACACCCAGCGCCAAAGGTGGGTCCATACGTATTACATCTGTACATTGCATATTGCTGATTTCGGTATTGCGTCAACTTTACGGGATTGTATCCTTTGACGTTATAGAGAGAGAAGATGAAAGCTTTACTGGCGTAGGAATAAGCGCAAGAACCAGCTGAAATAGAAGAACAATGTATTCGTACATTAAAAAGCTGAAAGAAAACATAAACCCCCTGAGGAAGGAGAGGGGTGGGGAGTTCATTTTCCATCATGAGCTAGACGAAGAGTTTTTTCTCAGACTAGAAATTTGTGAAAGGGTGGGAGATATTTTACTAGTTTGGGTATAGAAACGAGTACCAAAAACAATTATGGAAGATCTTAGGGGTTACTTTGGAGAAAAGCGAGTAAATATTTTTGAGACTTGAAGCAAATGTTTTAGGATGTAATGTTGTTCTGCAGGTGTATCACATAGAAAACATTTCTATAGACGACACTGGTGTGAAGAAATCTTGATGGCCAAAACACTAATATGAAAAAATAAAGGTTTAAAGCTAGTATCACAGGATCATCGTTTAATATTTCCTCCGGCACCTTCTCCCCCCCCTTTAAATCCCAAAAGGAATGAACTTGTCTTGTCCCCTCTTAAAAATTTGATATGCCTGCCTCCGCTCCAGGACGCATCAGTGTATCCACCAAATATGTACTCGTTCACTTTGATGATTGTCACTGTAGGTCCTCTCCCATCGCAGTTGCTGTGGAATGTCGATGCCGCCCAGCCGTCAGTCTTAGCATGCCAACACCTAACAAAGTCAGTACGGGATGCAGTGGGAAGAACTGGGTCTAAAAACGAAATCAGCTTTCCCAAGTACTTATTGGGGTCCAGGCCTCTAAGTATAATAGATGCACCAAGGCCACCTATGTGCATAAAAGAAACTCGAATGTAAATTACAATAACAGGCGTTCTAGAGTATAGAAAGATGTTATTTCTTCTTTCACAACCGAGGGAGTTTTTCACAAAAATTAGGGTCCCACGTCTTATTCACAGGACAAGGTGATCCCATTCAAACTCAATATTTCCCTGTGCACTTATTGTGTGACGAACTTAAATGAATGCGGCGAAACAGACTTTACAGGCTTGCATATTCCTTTGAAATGACAAAAAGTAAGCTATCTGTACTCTAGGAGCACAACTTTCTGAGGATGTTTCTACAATACACGATTTGATATTTCTACAGGCCCTACAAAGTATTTATCCTCGGAAAGGGGTGTTTTTCTTGATTACCTGCTTCATAGAATACTTCGACGTCCGTTGGAGAGAAATTAGACCCCCCTGTAAAAAAACCACAGTCACCATAAGAGTACCCAGAGGGTATCGTGTATGTGTAACCGCATCTGGTGTAGGAGTTTTGGTTGTTTCCGGAGCCGTCGGATATGTAGATATCATGACCATTCCCAAAGGTGGGTCCATGCGTATTACATCTGTACATTGCATATTGCTGATTTCGGTATTGTGTTAACTTTACGGGATTGTATCCTTTGACGTTATAGAGAGAGAAGATGAAAGCTTTATTGGCGTAAGAATAAGCGCAAGAACCAGCTGAAATAGAAGAACAATGTGATCGTACATTAAAAAGTTGTAAGAAAACACGAACCCTCTGAGAAGGGGGGGGGGGGAGTTCATTTTCTATCATGAGCTAGACGGGGAGATATTTTTTCCAGACTAGAGATTTGTGAAAGGGAGGGAGATATTTTACTAGTTTAGGTATTGAAACGAGTACCAAAAACAATTATGGAAGATTTGAGAAGTTATTCTGAAGAAAAGCGAGTAAACGTTTTGAGACTTAAAGGAAAAGATCCCTCTGTTCTAAGTGTTTTCATTACTAGACGTGTTAGGACATAATGTTGTTCTGTAGGTGTATCAAATAGGAAACAATTCTATAGACAATATAGGTGTGAAGAAATCTTGATGGCCAAAAAATTAATATAAAATAATAAAGGCTAAGCGCTCTTATCAGAGGAGCATCATTTAAAATTTCCTTCAGCACCCTCTCCCACCCCCTCCCTTGAATCCCAAAAGGAACGATACTTGATCCTATATAATTGTCTTATTTCCTCTTAAAAAAAATTTGATATGCCTGCCTCCGCTCCAGGACACATCAGTATATCCACCAAATATGTACTCGTTCACTTTGACGATTGTCACTGTGGGTCCCCTCCCATCGCAGTTGCTGTGGAATGTCGATGCCGCCCAGCCGTCAGTCTTAGCATGCCAACACCTAACAAAATCAGTACGGGATGCAGTGGGAAGAACCGGGTCTAAAAACGAAATCAGCTTTTTCAAGTATTTATTGGGGTCCAGGCTTCCAAGTATAATAGATGCACTAAGGCCACCTGTGTGCGTAAAAGAAACTCGAATGAAAATTATTATAACAGACGTTCTAGAATAAAGAAAGATGTTATTTCTTCTTTCACAACCGTGGGAGTTTTCCACGAAGAGTCGAGACCCAGATCTTCTTATTCACAGGGTGAAGTGCTTACCATGTGATCCCACTAAAACTTAATATTTCCCCGCGAAAACAATTAAATTCCACGGGAGCACATTTTCTCAAGTGCATGTAAACTAAGAAACGAAAATCAACAACCAAAAGTTCAGTTCAGTTGGTCTGAACTGTCTGATTCGGCCCGACTCAGCCATTCAATTTCATGGCAAAACATGCATCTAGATCAATTTGTTCCCTGATTTAGTTGATATACACTGATACCCCGGAACTGAGATACAATTTATCTACCACTGCTGCCACAATAACTTGAATAGTATTTCGCTGCTGTAAAGGGTTCAGGGCATGCGCTCCTAGAATCCCTGACGTTGCTAAAAATTAAAGTTTATTTTTTTATTCATTGCAGGGTTTTAAGTGTTACTGTACAATAACTTACCTATTTTGAAGAAAACTTCAACATCAGATGGAGTAAAATAACGACTTCCTGTGAAAAATCCACAGTTTTCACCCGAATAACCCGCGGGGTTGGAGTAAGTCTGGCCGCATTCAGTATAAGAATGTTGATTGTTTACGGCGTCGTCAGATATGCGGATGTCATGTCCCAAGCCAAAAGTGGGTCCGTAATAGGAACATGTGTACATTGCGTATTGCTGGTTTTGGTATTGTGTCAGCTTCACAGGATTGTATCCTTTGACGTTGTTAAATGAGAATAAAAAGGCTTTGGTGGCGTAAGACCAAAAACAAGAACCTAAAATGTTGATTAAAATGCAAATGCAGAGATGCATTTAAAGATTAGACAGGTATAGGATCAGGGACCAGCCACAAGAAGCAAATTTTTTTTCGCCGTTTTTACATTTAAGATCGAGTTATGGATAGTTTCTTAATTCAAACGATAAGAATATCAAGATACAAAACAAAATGGATCGGTCCTTTGATGTTGTTAAAGGAGAAGAGAAAGGCTTTCCAAGCATGGGAGTTCCCACATGAACCTATATTATGGGTGGCGTTGTGAGAACATAGTAAATGTAAGTTCTATTAGTCAATTGTTAGACCATCCTACGATTCCTTGAGGTCTCTCAAAAAAGAGAAGCGGGATGATCTACGAATGGATGACAAGTATAAGTTAATAAAGGTGGGTACAGCTGCAGCGAATTTTGAAGCTTCTATAAACTCGCTATGGCGGTTAACCAACCCTTACTAGAGTCTTATAAACGAGAGCACTTTGAAGGGTCATAGCGGAGCCATATAGAAACGTTACAACGCACCAAGAGATCCTGAGGGGGGGAGAGAATGGGGCTTCTGGTCCAGGCCCTGAGATACGTCAATCAGTCTTATACCAAGTGTGACTTGGTATGTGGCGTTTTTCTGGCGCCTCGCGCAGCTTTTGTTCTTGTCCTTTGTTTTGATTGGCCAGTTTTAATGACCTTGGTTTTGGCTTTGCGACACTTATTAAGTGCAGTTTAGATGGAAAATATATTTGGATTCTAAATTTATCAAATGCTACTGTATGATACAGCAGTGATATAAATTTTATTATTCAAAAACGTACTCACCGCTTGGTCCCCAGGACACATCAGTGTATCCACCAAATATGAAATCGTTCACTTTGATGATTGTCACTGTGGGTCCTCTCCCATCGCAGTTGCTGTGGAATGTCGATGCCGCCCAGCCGTCTGCCTTAGCATGCCAACACCTAACAAAGTCACTGTGGGATGCAGTGGGAAGAACTGGGTCTAAAAACGAAATCAGCTTTCCCAAGTATTTATTGGGGTCCAGGCTTCCAAGAATATCAGATGCACCAAGGCCACCTGTGTGCGTAAAAGAAACTCGAATGAAATTACAATAACATACGTTCTAGAAAAAAGAAAGATATTATTCCTTCTTTCACAACCGTGGGAGTTTTCCACGAAGAGTCGAGACCCAGATCTTCCTATTCACAGGATGAGGTGCTTACCATGTGATCCCACTAAAACTTAATATTTCCCCGCGAAAACAACTAAATTCCACGGGAGCACATTTTCTCAAGTGCATGTAAACCAAGAAACGAAAATCAAGAACCAAAAGTTCAGTTCAGTTGGTCTGAACTGTCTGATTCGGCCCGACTCAGCGATTCAATTTCATAGCAAAACATGCATCTAGATCAATTTGTTCCCTGATTTAGTTGATATACACTGATACCCCGGAACTGAGATACAATTTATCTACCAGTACTGCCACAATAACATCAATAGTATTTCGCTGCTGTATAGGGTTCAGCGCATGCGCTCCTAGAATCCCTGACGTTGCTGAGAATTAAAGTCTATTTTTTTATTCATTGCATATTTGCGACAGGGTTTTAAGTGTTACTGTACAATAACTTACCTATTTCGAAGAAAACTTCAATGTCAGATGGAGTAAAATAACGACTTCCTGTGAAAAATCCACAGTTTTCACCCGAATAACCCGCGGGGTTTGAGTAAGTCTGGCCGCATTCAGTATAAGAATATTGATTGTTTACGGCGTCGTCATATATGTGGATGTCATGTCCCCAACCAAAAGTGGGTCCGTAAGAGGAACATGTGTACATTGCGTATTGCTGGTATCGGTATTGTGTCAGCTTCACGGGATTGTATCCTTTGACGTTGTTAAATGAGAATAAAAAGGCTTTGGTGGAGTAAGACCCAAAACAGGTACCTAAAATGTTGATTTAAAGGGAGATGCAGAGATGCATCCAAAGATTAGACAGGTGTACGATCTGGGACCAGCCCCAAAAAGTTGTTTTTTGCATTCGAGATCGAGTTATGGATAGTTTTGAAATTCAAAGAATGAGAATATCATGTGACGAAACAAAAGTGGATCGGTTTTTTGAGAAACGATTCAAACAGCTATTGCTTAGATTTCTATCCTAAGACATGGCTTTGGGCACGTAACGTTACCAAGAATTTCACATCTTTTAGGGGACATTTTGTTTTTCTGTTTTAGACACCAAGCTAGATTCCCTGCCTTTCAACGTTAATTATTTTCCCTTCTAAATCTCTCAAACTTTGCACCAAAAAAAAAATTAATGGCCAAAGTCTACTTACTGCTCCATGATACATCGGTGTATCCACCAAATATGTAATCGTTCACTTTTATGATTGTAACTGTGGGTCCCCTCCCATCACAGTTGCTGTGGAATGTCGATGCTGCCCAGCCGTCTGTCTTAGCATGCCAACACTTCACAAACCTGCTCCATTTTGAACTCAGGAGGACTGGCTCTAGGTAAGAAAGCAGCTTACCTGTGTAGTTGTTGTAGTCGAGGCTGGTAAGAATAACGGAATTATTAAGGCCACCTATACGAAAACCGAAAAAGGGAGAAAAGGTAAGGATTGCCCTACCTTGAAGATTTGGCGTCATGTTGCATTCGTCATCTTGGTGGTGGTAATGTCTACAACTTGCTTTTTCGTTTTTACGAATTACAGCGTGACAACCGTTGTGTGACGCACATCGATCTAAGACACAACTTGCCTTTCCGACCCCGTGTGAACTGGGAGGTGCTCTTATGGACACACTGTCTCCCTTATAGACGCGTTTACACGATGAAAGCGTGTTTTTATGACATTCCAGATTGCTAGACCTAGTACACCTGATCATATCTCGCCTCGTTATTTGCACCAACTAATGTTTTCTTAGAATTAGAGGAAACCACGCGATAAAAACGTGATAAGAATGAAAAATTAAGAATTAAGGTTGATCAACATAAAAAGTTCAAAGGATTCGCATTTGATTTCTCCTCACCGTATTACTGCTGAACCAAACATCAGAATCACGGGAATAAAGAAAATAATCACCAAGTTATGAAGCTCTTGATTGTCAAACAAATTTCCTTGACAGTACTTTACGGTATGTATGAATTCCGTCTTGCCTAGGGTCTTGGTCTCGATTCAGGACCGACTCATGTTAAAAAATATATATATATTTGACAACTAATTTCCAAAGAATTATAAGCTTCATATGACGGTGAAGAAAGATAGAGAATGCGAAATGCGAGGATCAAAACAAACTGAGGTCGCTCGTGCCTCAGTGTTAGTTAAACTCACGAAAAAGTAGCTGGTACCGAAGCAAGTGCTGTCCGACCTTATGAACAGGTGGTAAGGATCTTATTTACATTGGGTACTATTATCCTGTTGTTGTACCTGCCTATTGAGGAATTACCAAAGAGAATAATGGCTACTAAAATTAATCGCATTTTGAAACTTTCAATTGGTCAAAAAAACTCACGTTAACATTTCTGCAGCTTTTTTTGACTATGAAAAAGTTCTGAGTGATTCGGCTGATCAAGATAGAAAGTTCGACATAGTTGTAAGCAACAAACTGTAAAGATCAATGAAACTGTTTCTTTTTTAAGGGGGGGTGGTAAGTTAGGCGCCAAGTGAGACGTATTCTTCAACCCTTTAACCCCTAAGAGGGTTTGGCATTTAACTTCTCCTTACCGTATTAATGCTGAACCAAACATTAGAAACATGGGAAATAATCACCAAGTTATGAAGCTCTTGATTGTTAAGTAAATTCCCCTTGGCAGTACCATACGGTATGTATAGAGAATATCTGTACTGATGCTAGGGAGTAAAGGGTCATAATGTCGCCCGTTTTTGGGACGAATTCCATCTTGGTCTCGATTGAGGACCGACTCATGTTAAAAAAATATATTTCCAAAATTGTAAGCTTCATATGACGATACAGAAAGATAGAGAATGCGAAATGCGAGTATCATAACAAACTGAGGTCACTTGTATCTCAATATTACTTAAACTCACGAAAATGGCAGCTTGTTCCGTTTCCCTGGTACCAGGAATTGCAGGTGCATCGATAGGAACCAACGGTATTGTTGCAGTAGGCATTGACGTCACAGTCATGCGATTTATTGGCACATTCGTCGATATCTGAGAGAATACATAAAAAACTAAATGGTTTGAACTCAAGAGCAAGAGTCGATCGAAAATGACGGTTACTGGCGAAAGCGTCTCGCCGTATAAGCAATTGAACGTGACATGGTGCGGGGTATAATTCCAATCGGTTATTAAAGCAATTTTTTTTAATCGAGTGTCCAGATTAAGCCGAAATTGTTTTGGTTTTGCTTTGTTTTAAAATGAATTGCTTCAGGCAATAGTGAAAGTCATTTCACTAACTTACCGACACACTTTTTTCCGTTTCCAGTAAAACCAGCTTTGCACGAGCAACTGTGAGAACCGATGGTGTTCACGCACTCAGCGTTGACGTCACACACGGGAATGGTCGAATTACACTCGTCCACGTCTGAAAAAACGGAATAGTCTGCGGTTAGTTTAAAAGCAAAAAAGGAGGGTATTCGCTGAATTATTACTCGTTCGTGGATTCATCAGACCAATTACTTCCGGTGGGAGCCAAAATTTTGCTTTGTACGACCCCATCAGGAAGCAAAATTTCCCCTTCCCTATTCGTTAAATTTCGTCACTATAAAGTTGTGATAGCAATTTGCTATTGAATGATTATCTCTGTGTCAAAAAAGAAATTTTTTCATTCTATTTGACTTGTTCTCAAATCGATCAGTTTAAGAGAGATTATAGCATTCCTCCATAGCTTTGTTTCCGTCAGATATCTTACTATTTTTATTTTATTTCGTTTTGCTTTATTTTCTCATTTCCCCCTATGAATATTGGGATGGGGGAAGGGGTCAGGTGGTTGCAGTCTACCCATAACATCTCTGTCGACGTTTTTGCTCGTGGTTAACCGACTTTTGTCTGTAGAAGATGTGAATTGATAAACGCTTGAATTCACCTTCGGTTTTCATGTCACAAGGAGCCAGAACAGTCCTCTCGGGTACAATCGAGTGAAACCAGTATTTGCCGCTGACCGCTTGTCCTCCTTCGCTCATTTTGATTTCCTGGCAAGTCTCCGCAGGCAGCTCAGGAATGGAACCGAGAGGGACTGAAAGAAATAGCAATCATAGTGGCATAGTATTCCAAGTAAGCAAGATTTGATGTTAGTCTTGGGGGTGTGGACACTCAATTTCAGGGCGACTTGACTTAAGGCAATAAAGGGAAGTGATGTGACACAATTTATTAATTTTGGGTTGAAATTCTGCGTTCTGAAAATGTCTTTAAAGGGAAGAAGACAGTAAAAAAATTTACAAACCTCGTTTGTAATCTCGCTTAAAGTAAAATCTCTCAGGGTTCGGAACATAATCCTCTGGTCTCGCCTCCTTGGTTCGGTTACTCAGCTCACAAATGTCTTGCGTAAAGACGTAGTTGAAACTTTGACATCTGACGTCAGCATAGCATCCCCGCAAGCACACATCTGAAAGACCAGCCCCCGTGATCCTCTTGAAGATGTGGCGTTGAAGCATCATCCCAAATTTGGAAACTTCCGGCTGGCCCGTAGCCTCCCATTGCTGTGCAGCTGTACAGCATAACAGCACGGTTTTGATGAACAGCCCTACTGCGTACAAGACCTTTATGGCCATTTCCTCTCGACGCATGATGTGGGAAAAAACGTTCCCTGAAAAGAAAAAGGCAAACAATCTTCTGGGCTAAAACTTACCCTAAAATTCTTTTTAATCCGTAGACTGGTTTTCGTGAGTTCACGATCAACATGCATGCTTCTATCTTTGTTATTTGACTTTATTTTCATTTGTTTATTTTTTAAGGATTACAAGCACAGAAAAGTCATACATATTTATCAAACTGGACCTCAAATTTGAGGAAAACGGATGTTTGTTCAATGCCAAAACGTATTGAGTCTTTCGATATTTGTGGTCAGGAAATGCAGTATGAAATGGATAATGGAGAAAGGCTGGTTAGAGCTATATCAGTTAGGATAGTTAGTAGGGAGCTGTTAATGAGTTAGAATTTGGAGTTTGTCCGTTATCGAGCAGTCATTTGAACAGCGATGGAAAACCGATTGTTGGCGACTGGATTCGTAATACGAACTCGAAACTCAACTATTGAGCAAACACTCCTTCGAGTTACGATTTTGAGACGATTTCGAGGTGGAATTTCGAGTTGGACTTTCCAGTAAGCAAGGCATAGAACTTTGAAAGATGCCGAAGTAGTTCGTTTAATTTTTGCGGGCTACAAAATTATTTGCGGTCCTGCATGACGTAATTTTACATGTTATTCAGGTCCATATATTTTGTTTTGTTTAAGAATTGTTTATACTAGTCAATTATTCAAGACTCGTACTCCTGTTAATCTCCCACTTGTTTTTGAAATCTTTTACGATCCTTCCGGCAAAATTTCGTTTGGTATCTGATACTCACACAATTATAACGGCCGGAGTTACTAAACTTTTCAAGTTGCAAACTGGGAACATCGAGATATTATTGTTCCTTGATTACATTAATCAAGAATTTTCAAGTTATCCTTACATGCAAGTGGGGTTACAAAAAAGATTGATATAAAAAGTTGGGTACTGAGTGAGAAAACCTAAAATAAACTGCCATAAAGGAGATTTTTTTTTTTCCACAATAGTCAACTTACAGAATTTTGCATAGCGCATGAAAAATTTTCAGCTGTTCTAGTTGGACAGTATGAAGTAATTTTGAAAATGATACTTCCTAATTTGATTGTTGGCTTGCCATCAAAGTGATCCAATATCTGGCAAATTCCTTTTGAAAAATTTATTAAAAGGAAGTTCGAGATATAGAATTTCAAATTTGTGTGCGTCTTTAAGCCTGGCTCGTTCTCCAACACTGATGATAAGAGATCTTTCATATTTAACGACCAAGCTGAAATTTTACATCTTGGTCAGGTCCGTACGCTTTGTTTTGTTTAAGAATTGTTTAAACTAATAAATTACTCAACACTCGGATTCCTTGCTAGTCTCCTACTGGTTTCTTAAAACTTTGGCGATCCTTCCGGAAAAAAAAATTCGTTTCATTTCTAATACTCACTCGATTATAACGGCCGGAGTTGCTAAACTTTTCAAGTTGCAAAGTGGGAACATCGAGATATTTCCTTTTAAAAACATTCATTAATAATTTTCAAGTTATCGGTGTATGCAACTGGAGTTACAAAAAAGATTGAAATAGAAAGTTGACTACCGAATGAGAAAATAAATGTAAACAGCGCAATGTAGGCAACAGAGTGAAACGCCAATATTCTTTGGGTGGAAAAGGTATGCTTCATTTACCAAACAAAATACGGAAAATTTTCAAACTGCATTATTGAACAAAAATATTAATGAAATATAAAAAAGTGTAGTCGGAGCCTTTCAGGGACTGCTTTAAGTGTCTGAGGCTGGAATCTTCGCGGGGAATCGGGATATTTTCACACTTGAGTCAGATTTGTAACACGACCGTTTTATTCCATCTTCACCCAAATGATCTCCGCGAAATTCAGTGTAGGAAGTTGAAGAGCCCTTGCATTTAAACTTGGCGAAAGACAGGAGCTTACTGGTTTCTGAAAGATTTGTTTACGTTGCTGTATCGTTGAGCAAAAGGAAAAAATCAGTTAATAATCAACCATGAGTTTATAAAGGAAGCGAAAACCACCGCAGCGAGGTTTGAAAAACTGAAGTTTCGAGTATAGTCGCTTCGTGGGAGGAATACAGTGCATAGTTTATCAATAACTGAGTTCTTTTTTAGAATATGCTGGGATTTGAGTCCTGGCAATGGCTTTCCAACACTTATGAAACGATTTCACATATTTCTTCACGTTTTAGCTTTTCTCGTAAAAATATTCAAGATTTGGCGAAGGAGGGAGACACCGATGGAAGTGAAAAATTAAAAATAATGAAATAGACTGCTGCCTATGTATGAACTCTCCTAACTAAGCTAATATCTCCTCCATTCTATTTTATACTCTTAACGCAGCAATTATGCCTCTTGTTGCCAGAAATAAACTCGTCCAATTTTTTCACATAATTTCTAGGTTTCATCGAGACACCGACAGTTTTCGTTTTCCTCTTTTTTTTTTCTTTACCAGAAAATACCTTTGCGTAGCCATGCCATTCTGACATAGCTCTATCTGTAACGAAATACTCTACAACTAAGCCCAAACAAAATTATTTCCTACCGTTTTCTCCGAAGATGTTTCTTTGCTGGCGATTCTTGTCTGTATGTTAGTGCAGCTCTTGCAATTGATACCGACGCAAGTGTTGTTCGACCTTATTAACAGGTGGGAAGGAAACTATTTATATTGGGTAGTATTATCCTGTTATTGTACCTCCTAAGGAGGAATTACCCAGGAGAATAATGGCTACTAAAATTAATCACATTTTGAAATTTTCAATCAGTCAAAAACCTCACATTAACATTTCTGCAGCTTTTTATGACTATGGAAAAGTTCTGAGTGATTCGTATGACACCTTCCAATAAAGAAACAGGTCAAAAGTGACTTTGGAAATACTCACATTTGCTCGACTCATGTTTTGGGGAATGGCGTTCCCTGAAATGAAAAAGGCAAATAATCTTTTGCGCTAAAACTTCCCTAAACTTCTTTTTAATCCGTAGACTCGGTTTCAGTGTGTTCACGATCAACATGCATGCTTCAGTGTTTGTGATTTGACTTTATTTTCATTATTTTATTTACTCAGAATTGCAGGCACAGAAAAGTCATATATATTTACCAAACTGGACCTCAAATTTGAGGAAAACGGATGATATTTCAATACCAAAACGTATTTTGTCATTCGATAATTGCGGATTTCTACCATAAGTTTTATTTGCATTGTGGTCAGGAAATGCGATATGAAATGACTAATGGAGAAAGGCTGGTTAGAGCTGTGTATCAGTTAGGATGGTCAGTAGGGAGCCGTTAACGAGTTAGAATTTGGAGTTTGTCCGTTATCGAGCAGTCACTTGAACAACGATCGAAAACCGATTGTTGGCGACTGGAGGTCGTAATACGAACTCAAAATTCTACTTTTGAGCAAACACTCCTTAAAGTTATGATTTTGAGTCGGATTTCGAGCTGAATTTTCGAGTTGAAGTTTCCAGTAGGGCAAGGCATAAAAATTGAAAAGCTGCCGAAATAATTCGTTTAATTTTTGCGGGCTACAAAATTATTTGCGGTCCTACATAACATAATTCTAGATGTTAGTAAGGTCCATACGCTTTGTTTTGTCTAAGAATTGTACTAATCAATTATTCAAGACTCGTATTCCTGTTAGTCTCCTACTTGTTTTTGAAATCTTTTACGATCCTTCCGGCAAAAATTCGTTTGGTATCTGATACTCACACAATTATAACGGCCGGAGTTGCTAAACTTTTCAAGTTGCAAAGTGTGAGTGCAAAGTGAGAATGCATGCGCTATGCAAATAGAATTTTGCATAGCGCATGAAAAATTTTCAGCTGTTCAAGTTTGACAGTATGAAGTTTTGTTGAAAATGATACTTTCCAACTTGATTATTGGCTCAAAGTGATCAAAGTGATCCGATACTTAACAAATTCCTTCTGAAATATTTATTAAAAGGAAGTTCGAGGTATAGAATTTCAAATTTGTGTGCGTCTTTAAGCCTGGCTCGTTCTCCAACACTGATGACAAGAGATCTTTTTCATGAAACGACCAAGCTGAAATTTTACATCTTGGTCACCATCTACTATACCACTCACCATATTATGGGAATAATTTGCTGAAATAATTGGATGAAATTATCTGATGAAATTATGCAATAGCAAAACAAGAATTCTGACAAATCCAGGATGTTTTTATTTCTCAGTAATTCACTTACTGCCCGCCTATTGACGCCATTGAGCAATGACCCATATTTCAAGATTAAAAGAAATTTATTCACGATAAAGTTTTGCAGTAAAGTTTAAGATGGTAAAGTCTATATTTGCTCTGAAAAATGAAATATCAACTTGTGAGAAGAATATGCATCAAACCTTATTTCAATGTGCTTCATTAGTTGGAGGAGAGACAAATTTTGTATTTTGCTTTTTCTGCAACAATTCATCGACAATTTCCCGTTGCGTTCTGAAACGATGAGTAATGTTACAAATTGTTATTGTATATATGTTTTTTGGCTATTTCAACAATCTCTTGCATAATAATATGGCTGTCATAGCCTCGCAGATCGTGCAAGATAACTGGTTTCTTGATTTTATCAACCTTTCATCAGAAGTGACTGATATCACAATGTTGATGAGGTGACCCCCTGTACTTTCTTGTGGTGTGGCAGCGGTCCTTACTCTGTTTTATAATTTTTTTTTGTATGATCTACCGCAAATGTGACATTCTCTTGCCTGCTTGAATTTGTGTTTATCTTCATCAGACATTTTCAATGGTTTATTAAAGTGCCCTCTTGCTGTTTTTTTGCAGCAATCAACATCTTCTTTTCCTGCCATGAATTTATAGACAGCATCTTCTCCTCTGTATATTTAAATTGGTTTCCTGTATTAGTCATCAGAACAACAAACAACTTCGTAACCATATCCACAGTCTGTATGTTTCTGATATGCTTCAGTGTAGGATTCATTATTGTTTGTTGTCTGGTGCAAATGTGTGAATCTTTTCTGTTATT